AAATTTTCGAGATCGACGAATTTTTGAGTTTTTCAACGACCCCCTGGTCATGGATTTTTCGAGGTCTCGAAACTGAACTTTGGAAAAATATTTCTAAATTGCCAAAGGGCACTCAGCTATTTTTTTGCTTAACTATGTAGTACTGGGTTTGATCTATCAGCTACAAAATTTCGATCTACCGTACCTCTTTGGAAGGCCGTCTTTTAGGGCTTCCAAAACGGTTCGTTCGCGCTTTTTTCCGAATCCTGTCACCATTTTATAAAATTTAATCGCGCTGTGAAAATTATTGTTTTATTTTTATCTGATACCTGTTAAATAGCGCATCCTAAAGCCTTATTCATGAATTTTTCTAACCAGCCGTTGGCGCCAAGAAAATTCATCAAAACCCGAAATAAACCGAGTTGGAGGTTGCGTCAAAAAATTTTGGAAGGTGGAGTCGTAGGGATATTTTGAGCAATAATTTAGTACCATCAGTTGAATAAAACTATGCAAAGATTAAAGCAATTTCGCGTCGCAAAAATTTTTAAAAAGATTTTTAAACTTCGATTTTGGAATAGGGTGATCTTCGATTTTGTGCTGAAGTCACCATGATCATGAATCAGTTGCCCCAAATTGTACGGGTGTAGATAATAACATCAAAACTATAATCGTATCCATAAGACTCAGCTGGCTTTTATATTTTTAAAAATTCGAAAAATGACCCCGGCTACTCGGACCAAAAATCGGCTCTCTGGCCTCTTTTGCATTTGGCCTCGTAACTTTGTTATTTACCACCCAAAATCAGTCATTTTTAACAGGCTGTTTTACAATCGCCTCTAGAAGGCCCTCGAACAGAAAAATCGTCACTTTATGGAATTTTGTGATGGCATGCTAAAACGCGCTCCACGTGGGTTACTGTAGAAAACCGAAATCAGCGATTTTCGTGGTGTTTTTGCCATGGAATCGCTTCGATCTTTCGGTAAAAGCAATAGTAGGAGTTTTTGGTACAAATGACCAAAAAATTTACAAGATTCTGCCGCAGAATTAAAAAATCAGTTTTTAGTCTCTTTCATGAAAGTTTGTGGATAGTACGCTCTCGTATTTGGCAGCAAGGTGCCACTACTTATTGCCTAACAACCCAGAAAATTTCAGCCGGATCGAAGCTAGGGGCCCCGAGAAAAGCGGGAAAAACGAAACCTACAGTACCCCACTGGGGCACGTTTTAGCAAGCAATACAAAAATACCATAGATTCTGGTGGAATCTGGTGTGGAATCCGAGATTAATATTTGGATAGGTCATTCACAAAATATCAGCCATAGGCAGCGAGTTATAAGCGAGTTATGACTCAAAGAATAAAAATAACGCAAAATCGCGAAAATTGTTTTGCTTTTAAAAAATGAAATTGACCTCGATAAATTCTAAGATTTTGCCATTACATTTTTACAAATTTATACTATTTTTAGACCAAAAATCAGAATTTTCTCACCACCCATTCAAGAACGCACAATTTTCGGTCGTAACCAGCGTCAATAGTACAGTTGCGTACCCAAAAATCGAAAAAATCAAGTTGTGTTAAATCTTCATGCCCAGCATATTTAAGCATTCTGGCATGGCAACGCACCTTCGATTCTCTACCGTTCGCGAGTTATTTCGACCCAAACTGTGTCCTTTTTTTTGCACACCCTGTAGATTTCCAAACAACGGATACTCGGCCCGAATAAACGTATTTATGGGTGCACTGTGATGCCATTCATCATTTCTGAAAGAAAATATAGCTCTACAGGTTGTCCTCTTCGTCTAGTAGCTTCGAACCGTTGGTATTAGCATTACCTTAACGTTCCGGCCTACGGTATCTGGGGACATAGATTTCCCAAACAACGGATACCCTGGCCCGAATAAACGTATTTATGGGTGCACTGTGATGTCGTTCATCATTTCTGAAAGAAAATATAGCTCTACAGGTTGTCCTCTTCGTCTAGTAGCTTGCGAACCGTTGGTATTAGCATTACCTTAACGTTCCGGGCTACGGTATCTGGGGACATAGATTTCCAAACAACGGATACTCGGCCCGAATAAACGTATTTATGGGTGCACTGTGATGTCGTTCATCATTTCTGAAAGAAAATATAGCTCTACAGGTTGTCCTCTTCGTCTAGCAGCTTGCGAACCGTCGATCTATGTCTCAGATTAACGTTCAGGCTACGGTATCTGGGGACATAGATTGCCAAACAACGGATACTCGGCCCGAATAAACGTATTTATGGGTGCACTGTGATGCCATTCATCATTTCCTGAAAGAAAATATAGCTCTACAGGTTGTCCTTTCGTCTAGTAGCTTGCGAACCGTTGGTATAGGCATTACCTTAAGGTTCCGGGCTACGGTATCTGGGGACATAGATTTCCAAACAACGGATACTCGGCCCGAATAAACGTATTTATGGGTGCACTGTGATGCCATTCATGATTTCTGAAAGAAAATATAGCTCTACAGGTTGTCCTCTTCGTCTAGTAGCTTGCGAACCGTTGGTATAGGCATTACCTTAACGTTCCGGGCTACGGTATCTGGGGACATAGATCTCCAAACAACGGATACTCGGCCCGAATAAACGTATTTATGGGTGCAATGTGATGTCATTCATCATTCCTGAAAGAAAATATAGCTCTACAGGTTGTCCTCTTCGTCTAGTAGCTTGCGAACCGTTGGTATAGGCATTACCTTAAGGTTCCGGCTACAGTATCTGGGACATAGATTTCCAAACAACGGATACTCGGCCCGAATAAACGTATTTATGGGTGCACTGTGATGCCATTCATCATTTCTGAAAGAAAAAATATAGCTCTACAGGTTGTCCTCTTCGTCTAGTAGCTTGCGAACCGTCGATCTATGTCTCAGATTAACGTTCCGGGCTGCGGTATCTGGGGACATAGATTTCCAAACAACGGATACTCGGCCCGAATAAACGTATTTATGGGTGCACTGTGATGCCATTTATCATTTCTGAAAGAAAATATAGCTCTACAGGTTGGCCTCTTCGTCTAGTAGCTTGCGAACCGTTGGTATTGGCATTACCTTAACGTTCCGGGCTACGGTATCTGGGGACATAGATTTCCCAAACAACGGATACACGGCCCGAATAAACGTATTTATGGGTGCACTGTGATGCCATTCATCATTTCTGGAAAGAAAATATAGCTCACAGGTTGTCCTCTTCGTCTAGTAGCTTGCGAACTGTTGGTATAGGCATTACCTTAACGTTCCGGGCTACGGTATCTGGGGACATAGATTTCAAACAACGGATACTCGGCCCGAATAAACGTATTTATGGGTGCACTGTGATGCCATTCATCATTTCTGAAAGAAAATATAGCTCTACAGGTTGTCCTATTCGTCGAGTAGCTTGCGAACCGGTCGATCTATGTCTCAGATTAACGTTCCGGGCTACGGTATCTGGGGTAATATAGATTCCAAACAACGGATGCTCGGCCCGAATAAACGTATTTATGGGTGCACTGTGATGCCATTCTATCATTTCTGAAAGAAAATATAGCTCTACAGGTTGTCCTCTTCGTCTAGTAGCTTGCGAACCGTTGGTATAGGCATTACCTTAACGTTCCGGGCTACGGTATCTGGGGACATAGATTTCCAAACAACGGATACACGGCCCGAATAAACGTATTTATGGGTGCACTGTGATGCCATTCATCATTTCTGAAAGAAAATATAGCTCTACAGGTTGTCCTCTTCGTCTAGTAGCTTGCGAACCGTTGGTATAGGCATTACCTTAACGTTCCGGGCTACGGTATCTGGGGACATAGATTTCCAAACAACGGATACACGGCCCGAATGAACGTATTTATGGGGTGCACTGTGATGCCATATCTATCATTTCTGAAAGAGAATAGCTCTACAGGTTGTCCTCTTCGTCTAGTAGCTTGCAGACCGTCGATCTATGTCTCAGATTAACGTTCCGGGCTACGGTATCTGGGACATAGATTTCCAAACAACGGATACTCGGCCCGAATAAACGTATTTATGGGTGCACTGTGATGTCATTCATCATTCCTGAAAGAAAATATAGCTCTACAGGTTGTCTTCTTCGTCTAGTAGCTTGCGAACCGTTGGTATAGGCATTACCTTAACGTTCCGGGCTACGGTATCTGGGGACATAGATTTCCAAACAACGGATACTCGGCCCGAATAAACGTATTTATGGGTGCACTGTGATGTCATTCATCATTCCTGAAAGAAAATATAGCTCACAGGTTGTCCTCTTCGTCTAGTAGCTTGCGAACCGTTGGTATAAGGCATTACCTTAACGTTCCGGGCTACGGTATCTGGGGACATAGATTTCAAACAACGGATACTCGGCCCGAATAAACGTATTTATGGGTGCACTGTGATGTCATTCATCATTCCTGAAAGAAAATATAGCTCTACAGGTTGTCCTCTTCGTCTAGTAGCTTATGAACCGTTGGTATAGGCATTACCTTAACGTTCCGGGCTACGGTATCTGGGGACATAGATTTCCAAACAACGGATACTCGGCGAATAAACGTATTTATGGGTGCACTGTGATGCCATTCATCATTTCTGAAAGAAAATATAGCTCTACAGGTTGTCCTCTTCTTCTAGTAGCTTGCGAACCGTCGATCTATGTCTCAGAGCCTGTGTTTGGGCCTGTGTTTTAAGAGCAGCAAAGGTTTTCCCGAGGGGGCATCTTTTTGACCGCTACTGTAGATAACGTTGAGGTAGCAGCTGCGATGTCGAAGGGTCTTTCAGAACTGGAGAGATTATTTCCGCAAAGCGAGATATATGTTTATTGGTGTGGTATTGTGTGTGGTCGATCGGTAATCTGGTGCATAAGTTGATGCTTTATTGCCAAGTAGCAGCCATACACAGTAATCACGAGCAGAGTTGTGTAATGAGAAGAGCATGAGCAGAGCACGAGTAATGGTAAAAGCGAATAAGATGCTTTGAAAAAAGCAAAGCTAATTGAATGAGAGCTTTTAATGATAATTATGGCAGGGAGACGAGGTGGCGCTGCAGGCCGATCCGGTCGAGGCGCTGGGCGGTGTGGAAACTGCAACGATCTGGAATTGGAGTGTTGACTCGGGCAGTCTATCGTCATCACCCTGTACTGACTCTTGCCCTGTCCAAGCCTAACTTTTCATTCTTTTCATTATTGTACTGATCAAAACCCATGGATATCTGGTAAAGGTCGCTTAACGGGGGGACAAATAAGGGGGGTGGGAACGACCTTTGCATTTATAAGGAATATCCTGCTATTTAGAAAACGCCATCGGATAGAGCGTCGAAAATTATACTAAAAGATTTCGTTTCAGTCCAAAAGCCTGATTTTAACGCTTTTTAATTGATGAAACTTGTTAGCTTAATAAAGTAATAAATTTAATTTGTGTTATTTCGGGCTGAAATTGAATCTCTTAGTATCATTTACCACGCTCTATCCGATGGCACTAATGAAATCCCGAGGAAAAAGCTGAAAACGCCGAAAATGATGATCATCTTATGGTTATACTTCGACCAGCCGATGGTTTCTTTTATTAACTAATTTATAATGGATGATTTTGGGCTCAAATTAAATCAATTAGTAAATTTTTTGATGCGTTATTGATGTCGTGCTTGAATTGACACGACTGGTCCCTATAGGGGAAAAGTGGTTTCCACCCCCGGTATTTCCACCCTCGTTAAACGAACTTTACCGGATACTGGGGGGAGGTTCTTTGAGATTTTCGATATTTGCAAAACGGAAATCGATAGCAAGTCAAAAATTGTAATTGTAATAATTATAAAGCTAATCTTTTGAGCACGAAAAAATGTAATTTAAAAGTTTTATGACATTGAAACGCTGGTTTAAAACTATGGGCGCCACATAGGATGACGCGGCGGACCTAATTTTGCGCTTTGAATATTTTGGATATTTTGAGAATGCGATACGATAGACGGTGGAAAAATTTGCTAGGAGCTTTTTTTCTAGCCCGAACAAAACCATATTTAAAACAATTTTTATTACTGAAAAACTTTAACGCAACTTAAAAACTATAATATAGCCAGACGACGCGCATACCACGTGGTCTAGTCGAAATCTCAAACCCACTCGTCCTATCACACCCTTTCTCGCACGGCGGTTCATCTTTCTCCGTTGTCGCCAAGGCACGAACGGCACGGCTGAAATATTGTCGATTAGAATACTAAGACTAGATCATATTATCGGCACCTTTCGAGGGTCCTCATCGATGCCAGTCGCCGACACGCTTTGCACGCTGGGGCACCCAGGCTCGAATCGACGGCTCCGTCGGGCTCTGGGCAGCATAACTAAAAGCGTAATCTCTCAGCGTGGAAAGCGCATCCCGGGGGTCCTAAATGTCCGATTCGATTCGAGATATTTTGACCCAAATTATGATCTTTTTTCTCTCCACACTGGAGTTGGAGATATCCGAACAACCGATTATCCGGGGCGGGGGGAGGGAGGGGACACCAAACTATTTTCAATTCATATAAATCAATTATTTTCAATTCAATCAAGGCGAACCGTTGACCAATCAGCTAATAAAACAGAAGAATTTCCGCGTTCAGGAGTCGAACCCTCTCTGCGTTTTTGTGTCTGCGCCTCTCCCTTTTCCCCAATCTCTAATAGCTGCCGTAATGGGGACTGTTCGGGCGCACTGTGCCTACGTCCATAGTTTCCCAAGGTACCAGCCCAAGCTCTAAAAGTTCAACCAGTCCTTTAAGCAAATTCTGAAAACGGCACCAGATGGATTATCTCACTAACCAAAGTCGAACTTGGAGCTGATAGGGTTTCCCTTAGTGGTTTACGAAGCACACCCAAGCTAAGGAAAAGCTAAAAAGGCCGAAAAGGAGCATCCAAAAGCTTTGCTTATTTCTTTCAGTAAAAAAAACACATCAACAGTACCTATTTTCGTTGTTTCACTGAAACCCCTGTTCTGCATTCCATTCAAAAACCATTTATTTGCGAAAAACACACAGGGAGATAGTTGAAGAAGGGACGGGAAAGGGGAAAAAAGGGAAAGATGCAGTAGCGAAAGGGAGGAATGGCCGACGAGTACAAAAAAGTCTTTTAATGGATTTAATAAAGTTCTTTTAATTGGTAGCATAGGGTCTAGATAGGCTGGGGCATCTGAGCATAGTTTACTAGGCGGACTCCGAGGATTCTTGTTGCGTCTTCATCTTGTCGGCGGGGTGGCATTGGCGGTGGCGCTATTTGCGGCGTTTCCCCCTCTTCTGGAAGGCCAAAAAATAATAAAAATGGGCAAAAATGTGTCTGTGACTACGTTTTTTTCATTCACCTCTTAATTATTTTTCATTAAATAATTTGAGTAGAAATTAAAATTTCCAAGTTTGACCTGGTTTGATGGCAAGGGCGAAAACATTTAGAAGTCTACGTAGAATACTTAGAAATTCAAATTAAATTCTAAGCAAAATACAGCTTTTTTAGTTCATTTATTTATTTATATTCATTATTGTTAAAGGTACACTAAAATCTCGTTCGAAAAGTTCGGTCGCGGTAGGAAATTTGGGCTCTCTGCCGCAGCCAACCCAGCCCCTTCTTATAGCCTCTCCCCCTTCACCCTTCCCGTCTCTCCCTTGGCCTAGTGGTCCAAGGCGCTGCCCCAAGCTGGCAGTCTGGGTTCGGTTTTGTTCCGCGGCGAGCTCCTACCGTAACCCTGTTTGCTATCCCGCGGACGGTTACCGGCCAGTAACCAAACCAACGAGGCTTTAGTGTACCTTTAAATAGCTGCGCGCTTTTTTAACCCGCCGCCGGCTCGAACCTATGGCAATAGCATCTCGAATCCAAATAAAATGCCATTTTGCATCCAAAATCTCGCTCAAAAAAAAACGAAAAAGCCGCGCCTGATCCTACCAAATTTGACTTATGAAGGTTATACGTTTAAGTTTAGTAGAAAGCCGTTCGGAAAAGAATTGTATGTGGGAAATAGGTCTCAAAGTGGGGAAGATTTGGAGCCCCCCGCCCGCGGAAATACTAAAAGCCCAAGATTTTTTTAATGCCTAGAGCCTTTGAAATGTCTACCGGAGGGGCAGCAGGCGCTGCCGGGGGCGCAGCATGGGCGGCATGCTGGACTTGGACATGTGGAGCCGGTTGGCGAGCGGCCGGATGCCTTTCTCGCAAATCGTAGACCCGTCGGATCACGACTGGGCCTGCCTCGACTTGAACCTGCAAATTGGCGATAAACTGCCGTAAGGGATTACTTTACCTCTCCCGCCCCCACCCCAGCCGAAAAGTCCCGGAAAAATCGCTAAAACTAGCACTGGGTGGACCTAGCTCTCATCTATCCGCCACTGACCGGTATTTGATACAAAAAATATAGCAAAGTTGGTATATTACATTCTTTTTGAGCCAAAGTTCAACGGCGGTTTCTTGAATGGTATCGACAACGTCAAACTATCGAAAATTATGGGACAATCGGGCTGGGGGCGAGGGCGGATCCGGTCAAGTTTTATTTTTCTTTATTTTTTTATTGGATTATTATTATTTTATTTAAGAAATATTTGCCTAAATGGCGCGCACGACGGGCTCGTTACTTGAATTCGACTTTACCATCGCTTTTATGATAGAAACAAACAAGAGATCCCGAGAGAAATTTGCGGTCGCGTTTCCAATTAGGTTTGTTTTAATTTGCGCTAACTGTAGGGGCTGAATAACGAATATGATGAGGTATTTACTGGGTGCTCGGCGTGGCCATTCGGCGAATGCGCGTGAAGGGGAACTCGCTGGCGCTCGCGGGGCTGGTGTGCGCCGTCGGGGTAGTCGCCTTCCGGGTGGTGCTGCTCGTCTGGGGCCTGCTGCCCGTCAATCTGGCGGATTCGACGTTGTGGCGGCTGCTGCAAAAAAATGAGGTAGTTTCTCGGTGCTCTATTGAATCGAAAATAGCTGTGGATTCTTTCGGCATTTCCGGAGGGGAGCCAACCTTTTCCTATTAAATAGTGCGTGTTTTAATAGTGTTTTGGTGCTTCCGTGTGTTTTAGCAAAATTCAACATATTTTAAGTGAAAGCAACAAAAAGTTTGGTCGAAAGTCGGCATTGATGATCGAAAACGCGGTATTTTGCGTTTTTATGCAAAATTTGCGAAGTTTGCACGTCCAGCATTAGCCAAAAACGGTTTAGGAACACTTGACTTATTTTTCTTGGAAAACTACAAGCATTAGAAACAGTTGGCTCCCCCCGCTAATGCGATTTACGTTGTTCGGAGACCGGGACGCCCGATTCTGTTCGATTGACGCGGAACGTCGCCGGGGAGGAGATGCCGAACGACGCGGGTACTAAAAAAGTATGTATGGAAGGATTTGTTCAGGCAAAGGATTTTGACAAAAAGAAAGTCCAAAATACACCACATTCCCCCCGTCGGCCAAAATTGTTTACCTAAAGAAACGTCTACGTTTTCCAGAAAGATTTTCCGTTTCTAAGCGGAAATCCGATACGAACAAACACGATCTCGCTAGCTATCTCGGGATCCGCTCTGATACACGGATTTTGCGCCCGCAAAAGGGGCATGTATAAACATTCGCGGGTTTGCCCCCAATATCGGTGTCCGGCGCTTACGATGATGTTGTCGTGGCGCATTTGATGAAGCAGTGCGAGATCAGCCACGATCCTCTGCTGGACTTGCGGCCGGCCTCCGTTGTCGCCGGCTTGATGGTTTACCCCGTTCTGTAACAAGGGCACAATATATGTAGGGGCGTCCCTGCAAACCCTCAGCCGTCCTCAATCCGACCGGGTTCAATCTTTTTACCAGCGATCCCCGGGGACCCATAAAGGCTATGTGCCGCGCGGAAAATTCAAAGAAAATTAGTTGGGTTCTTTCGCAATTCCGGGAGGCGGCTTTTTCCTATAAAATAATGCGTGTTTTAATGGTGTTTTTAGCACAATCTAAACATATTTTCACTAGAAAAAAAAAAACAATAAAAAAAACGTAGCACGAGGTTTTGTCGAAAATCGGCCTGTTTTCGTCGGAAAACCGATATTTTTGATTTTTTTATAGAAATTTGTAAGGTTTTTCCGGTTTGGGAATAGTAAAAAACCCAACTTTTAAAACACTCCCTTCTTTGGTTTTAAAAAATTGAGTCCTAAGAAAACGAGTTGAGCGTTGATTTAAGCTACATTTTATAACGCCAAATTAGCTCAGATCTCAAACGGAACGAGGGGTTCAAAACCGGAAGTCGACGCAAATCGATGGAAAGTCGAAAAAGACAGCAGCTATTGAAAGATCGTCCCAATTCCGAGTGGGGGCCTGATAAAAAAAGATCTTCACCTCTGCCGCTGGAGGTGGAGGAGGCGGGGGCGGCGGGGAGGCGGTGGCGGCGGGAGGCGGTGGCGGCGGGGGAGGCGGTGGCGGCGGGGGAGGCGGTGGCGGCGGGGAGGCGGTGGCGGCGGGGGGGAGGCGGAGGGAGGGGGGCAGGTGGAGGAGGAGGTGCTGGTGGTGGAAATTGCACGAGCTCCTCGTCATCGTCGGTCGGTGGCTCCCGCTCAGCCTGAAGCAAGCGATGAGCAATGTCAGAGATGACTGATATCATGAAATTTGAAAAATTTGGGCTGGTCAACTGCGGCGACAACCAGTGCTGTTCACTGGGTCAACGAATGGCGGGTTGCCTAGTCTCCATTCCGCCTTCAGGCCCGCACGAGTCCCATTTGGTTGAAGGCGTCGCCGCCGTCCGCCCAGTCCGTTGTCAACCAAACACACCCACCGGTGTGTTAAATTCGGTGACGTCGCAGTTCGCTAAAAGCATCATATAAGTGGTTCGCTAAAAGCTCGTATTATTCTACTACTAAAATTTCTCAACCCCGAGTGTTGTGGAATTTGGTCGGATGGAATGGGGATGCTCGATGTGCCATGGGGCTGTTTGAATGTGCCGCCGGGATTCAGTGAATTCAAACTATACCGAGGCAGGTGCACGCGCGTGCGGGCCGGCCGCCCAGGGCGTTATCTAAAAGCATTTAATTCGAGTATAGTCGGCTGCGCCCAGCCAGAAGCTTCAACAAAAGAGTAAGAGTGGATTTTAACACACACCCCTAGGCAGAATATTAACGGGGGATCAAGCTTAAAACAGCCCGAACCGTGACAAAAAGAGGCTCCAAACTACGGATTTTTAAGTTTATAAGCCGTTGGAAAAGCCCCGCTAAGCGGAAGCTTGCGCATGCATACGGCTTGGAATTCTTAGAAACATTCGAACAACCGGATTCTTACAAACCAATCGAATTTTGGGACTTTGCATTTACGCTTAGTTAGCTGCGCTTACTATTAACCCTTTGACGACATGGCTTGTTTAGGGCAATCTGACCCGTGGGACAGGAGCCGTTTTCCCAAGCCCCCGATTCGACGTCGCCGACGGCAAGAACGGATATATTTTTATTTCTAACTGCTTTTCATGATGCGAATTATACTAGCAAATTATCGTCATACTCTTCCCGTAATAATAAACCACTTTTCGACGAATTTGGTCCAGTATTTGCTAAGTTATCCGCTTTACAAGCCGCCGAAATGAAAAACTTCGAAAAATAAGGCAAAATAGATTACCTCGCGGTCAAAATCCTGCTGTATAAGAATAAAACTAAAGATAAACGATGGCTTAAGCAAATTTAAACCGTTCCGGCGCGAGAACTCGCAAATAGACTGTTAATGGTCGCTTTAAATTCCAAGTCAGAAATTTTTCATGTTGCTAATTCCGGCATTTATCGGAAGCTGGCTCTCAATATTTCGATGTTTTGACTTCAACAGAATAACCCATTTGAGAGCACAAAAACCACCGGTGATGCACACTGTCGTCAAAGGGTTAAGCTGAAGCCTAGGGTCCAACAAAGCATGCTTCCGGCTAACAAGGAGTGTCCTTTTGGTGTCATCGGCAAAACGATTCGAGACCCCGCTCATTCGATAGAGAATTGAATTCTGAACAAGACTGTGTTGTTCATTTTTGCGGAATGGTTGTCCCTGATTTTATAGAATTAAAAAACTGCCGGCGATGCCCATACATTGGTGCTTGGGGAGCGAATTGTTAAGGTTTCGCGCTTGGTTTTTAATTCTATGGAATCAGAGACAAACTGATTCGGCAAAATGAACAACACAGTCTTGTTCAGAATTCAATCTTCTATCGAATGAGTGGTCTCGAACTCGTTTTGCCGATGACACTAAAGACACTCCTGCTAAGAGGCTAGACGTAACCGTGATAGGTCGAAGGCTAAAGCAGGTAGCTTATGTGTGGGCGTTTAGTTAACCTCTTACCCCCAACCACCAGTGAGAACAACGCCCCGTCAAAATGGAATTCAGCACTGAACCTGACCAAGTCGCAGAAAAATTGATACCGGTGATGTAATCGGCCGATACGCCGGCACCTTTGCCAACCATCGCCGCCCCTTGGTGTTTTAAGTTTCTCCCGCTGCTCTGAGCTAAACGAAAGAAGCACTATGGATGGATTAGCTTGGACTACACTCGCGCTCCATTTTCACGGCACATTTCCCTTTTCTGTCAGTCTCTTCCGCATTCGTCCTTCGACTGCAATAAGCAACTTTTGGAAACCAATTTTGCCTTATATTAGGCTAGCCAGGGACCACCACCGCGGATAGGATTATTTGTTATAGATTAGTCCACAGTCCACAGTTATTTTAGTTTCGGTCAGCCGTTTAGCAGACGATGAAAGAGAAAGAAGAGCAAAATAAGTTTTTTTAGTCTTCAACTGTATGCAAAAGTTACGCTGAAGTGTAAGCTTGAGCTTAGGCTTTATTCGACCCGGGCGAACGCTCGCTTTCAACCCGGCTTTGTATTGCGCTATCAGGTCAAAACAAGCCCAGTTAAGCTAAACTTACAAACTTTGTTAGAGTTAAGCGTAAGTCTAGGGAAAAGAAAAATTAGCGGGGGGGGGAGGTTGTCAAGTGTTCTTTGTTTAGCCTATACCTGCATAGTGATACAATGCAGTTTATTTTAATAATTTTTCCATTAGTTTCCGATAGTCAAAAATTCTAAGACCATTTATTCTGCAGTCATAAAATTTCAAGTTTTGGTTTGTTTTCCGCCATTTTCCGATACGTTAGGACAAAAAGCAAGAATTTCAATGTGTTTTTATGATGTTTTATGAATTTCTCTACCCCACGCTAACATTAACTAATTGCA